GTCAAGAGGACATGTGACTCTATGAAGTTGGTTACTGTCACTTTGTCCCATATAAAGACCGAGCGGTCACTCTGAAAGTCTCTCTGGAAAGCCATATATTGACAGTCTTTTTTGATAGAACAAGGCTTTCAATATTGTCCATGGATCCATGCTATGTTGAGCCACAATTTTTCCAGGAACTTGAGGATCAAGTTTTCCCCATCCTTTTTCTTTTCTCTACCTGCATTTATTGTTTATTTAACATCCCTAAATGCCTCTCTGAGGTGATTCATTATGATTCACACCTAAAAGAGGAGCAGAAAGAAGAGAAAATGCAGAATAAAGGGCCCTTGTTTCCCCGACTCCAGCACTGGCAATTTCTTTTCTTCTGTCGAGTGGTGCTGTGAAGCAGTTTTAAGATGACATTAAGTAACATCCTTTCCCCCTCTTCTTCCAGATCACCTGCCAGGCCACTTTTAACCACCCTATTTGGGAAGAATATAAATCACACATTCTCTTGTCAGTATGAATCATTGAAGCCTATGAAGTGGTTATGTGATTGTTAGCGCCTTTAAAACTGTGATAAGCTCATTTCTAGATGAATAGGCTCCGTGAAATATTATTCAGGAGTGAGCCTATTTTTTGATATAAAAAAGAAATCCTTCCCCCACCCCAAACACATCTAGTTTCAAGTATGACCAGTATATTTCACTCTTGATTTAAAATGAAATTGAGTAGGCCTTTAAAAAAAGACTTAAAAAAAGAAGAAAGAAACCAAAAGCTATCAGAGCTGGAAGAGAAAGGACCTGCTCAATCCATTTTAATCTATAAAGGATTTATTAAGGGCCTTATAAATGCCAGGTTCTGTGCTAGGTGCCAACAAAAAGGGAAACTATCCCTACCACCGAGAAGTTTGCATTCTGTTAGACAGAAACCACTTGTATGCTGATATGTAGATACAAAGCAATACAAAGTTATATTAGAGAGAAGATCCCTAGCAATTGAGGGAATTAGGATAGGACTCATGTAGGAGTCAGAACGTGAGCTGAGCCTTGAAGGGAAGCTAGGTTGTTAATAATAATAATAATGATAATAATAAAAATGATGTTGATGATGGCAACTATCACTATCATTATTACTAGCATTTACCCAGCACTTGATCCTCATGACAACCCTATGAGGTAGGTACTGTTATTATTCCCATATTACAGATGAGGAAACTGAGACAGAGAGAGGTTAAGTGATTGGCCCAGCAAGTGGTCATCCAGCCTTTTCTTGAAGACTGACTGTCAGGTGTTCCCAGTATGGGACCTGATGTCATTCTCTCTAATGGGCTATAGGTTCTGCTTTTTCAGATGACAAAATCAAGGACTAGAGATTACCATGATTTACCCAAGGCTACACGGTTTCAGAACAAGAATTTGCACCTCAGTCTTTGCATTCTAAGCCCAGGGATCTTTCTGTTATACCATCCCAGATCTGATCAGAAAAGGCCCAGAATTACCTCCTCTACCTAGAGGCCCTAGAAAATCATAGTTGGCTAGGCCCGTGAAGATTTCCTTGAGGGCAAATGGCTTCAATAATTCCAATTCAGCACACATTTCTGAAGATGCCTTCCTCAAAGACCTCTCTCTAGATCACCGTCCTCAAAAGCCCAAAAGTACAGTTTCCTAGGACCACTGTGGTCAAGGACATATGTGTTAAAAACACTTTTGTGCCTGCTTTCTTTTCTTCTTTTTCATTTTTAATTCTAGTTTTCCTGACCTAGTGCCTAGCACCTAGTTTGCATTTCTTTTCTCTGGGCTTTCAAAAACTACCCTAAAAATTAGTGTAGGAATGGCACTAGAGAGAAAGTGGGCAGGATACAATTCACCTGAGCCTTAACTTCCTTATCTGTAAAGTGTGCATCATATTTGCTCTATTGTGCAAATAATATGCTCTACCTACTCTGGGTGTGGACCACTGAAAATGTTATCAGACTTGGTTGACGTATTGGCAAATCCTGTCTAACTAACTCTCTCTCTTTCTCTTACTCTCTTTCTGTCTCTCTGTCTCTATCTCTCCCTGCCTCTGTCTCCATCTCTCTGCCTCTGTCTCTGTCTCTCTGTGTCTCTCTGTCTGTCTCTCCCCCCTTTCCCTCTCCCCTCTATCTCTACCTCTCATACACTCTCTCTCACTTCCTTCTCTCTCTCTTTTTCTCTAAATCTATGATTCTATTATCATTCATTCTACCAAAGGAGATAAGAAGAGAGGATGGTATTTAATAAATATTTATTGATAGTGATGACAGGTGCTCAGTAAACACCTGGTGAAAGAGTACCTTTATTTGGCATTCTACTCTGAAATGAAAAACAAAGTAGATGATTTCTCATTTAAAAGAAGATTCATCTAACTAACTGCCTCCTGAAATATGTCAGGATAAGTCAGGTTGACATTTTCAATTAATTTTTATGCTGTCAATGTCAATTTTTAGTGTTTATGATAAATTGGTATCTCCTACCATTCAAACACCATGTTTATCTTTTCCTTGAGAACTCACATCTAAAGAGATCATTTTAAAATAGATCTTGTAAATTTTTTTCTCCCTCTTTTATTACGCTTTCCTCCTTTAATGGAGGTATAGTTCCTGTTTGGGTGGGAGAGGGAAGGGAGCAACTATCTCAGTGTCCTAAGCATAGCAAGATAAAATCCGGACTTTTACGTATTTTCCTTAAACTATTTTAATTGATGTCTTTTGTTTCACATTACCTTCATTCCCAAATATACTCCTCCCCCATCCACTACCAATCCCCTTTAGCAAAGACCAAAAAGAGAGAAAGAAAACAAGTTTTTCAGTTAGATTCACCAACATATTAACCAAATTTGATAGTATATGTGTTCAATGCCCAGAGATTCAATGGCCACCTCTTCAGAAGAGGAGAAAAGTGCTCTTTCTGTCTTATTCTCTGAGAAGGAGAAAACAGATTTGATATGTTAGATGGAGATTATACAGATAGGAAGAGGGACTTTGGCTTGGAGTCTGGAGGTTTAGAACAGATTGAGGAATGTGCTGAGAGTCCAGAAAAAATAAAGAACTGGATTGCTGAGTGGTCCTGAAGGCTTATTTCCAATTATATCCAGTGCAGCACTTATTAAATACTTACCATGTGCAAAGCATTATGCTAGTCATTGGAGATAAAAATATAAAAGTCTCTTCCATCAAGGAGTTCACATTCTACTGAGAGATGCAACACATCTGCAGAGTAGAGACAAACTTAATTTTGGGAGCAAAAGAATACCGATAAAAGGAGGTAGGGAATGGTGGGGGAGAGAATAAGCAGGCAGGGAAAGCTCTAGTTAGGGAGGAGAGCTTGAGGAGAAGCTCAGAAAAACTAATATCTAAGGGGCAGAAATGAGGCAGGAGAATAACCCAAGCAACCAGTCATAAAGGATTTATGTACATTTACCATGTACCAAACACTGCCATAGGCCCTTGGAAAATGCTCAAAGGTAGGACATGGAGGCAGATAATTAAATAAAAATAAAGACCAAGTTGTTTTTTTTTTCTTAATACAGGGAAGGGCAGTAAAGACTGGGGGAATCTGGAAATGCCCAACATAGAAGGTGACATTTGAGCTGAATTTTTATATATTTTATGTTTAATTTATGGAATAAAACAATCATTCCCATAACAGCATAATAAAAAAAAAGATGATTACACATGAAACTGCAAATCTACTATGTACAACTTGCTATTCCTTTTAAATATCCAACAAAGTTGTACTGTAAATTTCTCTCTTTTTTTAGATGAATTTTTTTAATGAGTTAGGAATTCTAAAAAAAAAGGATAAGGGCTGTTTCATTTTTGTCTTTTCCTCTCAATGGTCACATTAGGCACTTAATAAATCTTTGAGGGTTAATTGAGAGAATAAGGAGGCAGAACATTCTAGGCATGGGAGGCAGCCAGGGGAAGTTCCAAAGAAGACAGGCTAGGTCTGAATGCTTCTATTACTTCTTTCCAGCAATACTCTTCAGCCTAGGAGTAGAAGTGAAGAAAAAGGTTGTCAGGGATGATCCCCACATGGAGGTGGTAATGGTGAAAACTCAGAGGGGAACAGGAAGCTGGCTAAAGGCCACAGCCAAGGTCACATATTTGCACTCACTGAGCTTAAGGCTAGTACCTCTGCCCAGCTCTTCTCCCTTCTGAAATTTTCTCTCTAGTCCCCAGTATATCATCCTTATTCTTGCTTTATATGACCGCTAGGCTTTTTTTTCTGATGACATGCCTTCCTAGGGGAAACTACATTAAAACTTTACAATATGATGGAGTTTTTCGAAAGATCTTAATTTTGTTAATTCCCCATACTAAAAAATGTGGTTTCCCCAGCACTTGAAAAAAAAATCCCTGGGCTAGGTGAGAAAAACTTCTTTGTGAAATGTTCCTAGAAGTGTTTACACAATATTCAAACACTTTAGTGTTATGGAATGACAGTCTCAAATCTGGGTCGAGAAAGCAGGACATACAAGCTCATTATTGTGTACCAGACATTATTTTTTATATCCATGACATTTCTGCACTACACACGACATTCTGGCTCTGAGGACTAGAAAGGCGCTTCACAGGATGCAAAAACCTTGCAGAGCTCTCCCAGCTGTAAGAATGACACCTTAGCCATCGGTTGCTGCCAGGACAATTTGCATGACTGGAAGAGAAAATCCAAAATTGGTCAGGAGAATTTGGGCTTAGAGGGGAAGACTGCAAAGGATTTGGAGACTTTGTGTTTCAATATAACCTGAGAGTCAGAATGCAAAGAAATATCCTGCCCTGAGGCTTTTTTTCAAATACACTTCCAGAGGGAGCTCCTGATGCCAATTCTTCATGCACTCCATCTGTCTCTCTTCTTTCCATGGTGTGCTTTCCCTCTGTTGGCCTCACTTGGATATATTGTCTAGGAGGCAAGGTAGTGGTTTTAACATATTGGTTTTGCTTTTTGAGGAATGCCAGCGTTATCCCCCTGAAACATCTATTTATCTTTCACCAGGTGACCAGCCCCACATGTTCCAGCTGCTGGAGATGGCTTCTCGCCTGAGGGACAGTGCAGAATTGTTCCAGTCAGATGAAATGCGCCCTGCTAACGATCCCAAGGAGAGAGCCCCCATCCGAGTCAGGATGCTGAATGATATTCTCCAAGACCTGGAAAAGAATTTCTTAGTGCAGCAGGTGCCGCCAGGCTTTTACCGGTAGGAACATCTAAACTTCATTTATTTCTGCCTACTGGATTGAATTGTTTCTTGTTCTTAGAACTAGTATACCCCACCAATGCCTACTTTTGACATCTGACTCTTGAAAGAAAACCAGTTTCATGCCATAATTACTTAAGCCTCATTTTTTTTTTTGATCTGTGAAATGAGGGGGGTGGAATCAGTGATCTCTAAGGCTCCATGTAGGTTTGAGATTCTATCCTATCTCTGACACTCACTACCTAAATGACCTTAAGCAAATTACTTAACCTACTGTGATGCTTAAAATGTTTTAGATACATAGTTTCTGGGTAATTAATCGTTTTATTAATAATGCCAGCATTTTATTAACAAAAGAAGTCAGTGGCACTCTCAAATGCCAAAGACAACTCATGGCAGTGGACTCCCAGTTTATATGCCCTTGGAATAGTGGGTATTCCTGAGGGTGGTGATCGACTCTGATTGGTTAACAATTAATGAGAGAATGAATATGACAGTGAGAATTGGGCTCGCTCCAATGAGAGGCTGAGAGAATTACATCAGGTTACTCTTGCACAAAGAGACAATCTGTGCACCCAGACCACTCCCAGCCTTGGGCAATCTAGACAAAGAATCTACCTCCACCCAGACTTGCTTGAGTGGAACACAGAGGGCAGGAATTCACCTTAGATTAGATGGTCTAACTGGGGTAAATTTTTGGCTGAGGTCAGTGATGTCGTTCAAAGGACAGGCTGTGGAAACAATGAAATGGGATGGGTAAAAAGCCAGGATCTCTCCCATAACTGGTAATTATTAATAATTTCTCTTAGTCCTTTGACTTTAGTTCCCTCATCTTTAAGATAAGAGGAATGGTCTTTAATATTCTTTCTAGCTCTGTATCTATGATCCTATGTATTTTCTTGTTAATGGTAAGTTTATAGTAATAACTTTTATTTAATGACATTCTTGATAATGAAATGAGAAGGCTTTGTAATACTAACAGATAGTCATGTATGGAAAGGAAAATCTCATTACCCAGAAAGTTATGATGAATTCCTGACTCAATGGAATCTTATTATTTTGATAATTATTACCGCTTAAAATCTTGCATTTGGTTTCTGGGTAATAGCACTATAGCACTGTCATGAAAGCAGGATCTGGTTCATGTTGGCTTTCTTTCCCACAATGGCCTCATCTATAAAGTGGGGAAAACAGTATCTACCTCACAAAGTTATTGTGATATAATATGTAAACTGCTTTGCAAATACTCAAGTTCTATTTAAATACTAGCTATTATCATCATTGTTAGTATTATTATCATTATCTGTGAGGGCCCATTTTGTGCTTTTCTCATCCATGTCATTCCGTAAGTTCATCATAAAGTCACCTAACATTTGGGTCTTGGGGTCCGGGATGGGGTATTGATAGTGTTGCTCCAACATTACAGTTACCAAGCCATGAAATGGCTTCTATGTGTTTTTTTTCTAAAATGTTTGATTTCCCCCCCAATCCCATGGAGGTAATAAATTAATTTGTGTAGTGTACTATCCCTTTGTATGTGTACCGTAGGTCATGAGAAGCCTATGATATAGTAAGCAGGTAGAGAGCTGGACTTGAAATTATCAAAGGCTAGTTTCAAATTCTACCCTTAATAATGGGGAGATCTGTGATTTTTTTTTGCTTTGTTTTATTATGCTTTGTTTCCTTGAACTTAGGCACCTCGTTAAAGATGAAAAGCTATATACAGATTATATATGTGTTGCTGAAAAGGCTTTAGGAACCATAGCTCATAAATTTAGTTCTAGAATAGGCCTTACAGCTAATCTAGGCCTTCTAGATAAGGAAATTTGGGTCTAGAGAGTTTAAGTGATTTCCCCAAGGTCATGCAAGGCAGTATGTCGTAGATTCTGGATTTGAACCCAGGTCCTTTGATTCCAAGATCATCATTCTTTCCATTTTACATTGCTATCACCATAGTTATGACATAGTAGATTATTGGCATATTCATATCTGTGCATCCAGATTGAGTGGATTTATTTTTAAATATAACTAACCTTTATGCTACAACTTAGTAAATGTGGATTTCAGAATCCTGATCCTATTCGTGAAAAATGTAGCAGATGGCACAACTGCGTATAGTTGGTAGACTGTATTCTGGATTATAAAACTCATCCTTGAAAGTACAAAACAGGAATTTTTTTTAAGTTGCATCATTTTTCCTCCCTGAAACCTAGGAAGTAGAGACTGTTAACAAAAGGAGAAATTTCCAGGATGGTGAATTAGTAATGTGCCAGGAAAATTATGAAAGAACAGGATTATGCATTAATAGAATCATAACTACATGGAGACAAGTGATAAAGTTTTGGAAAGAAATCATGGGAAAGGAAATGTAGTGAGCAGTAGTTAATTTCATTTTTCAAGATAAGCAGAAAACTCTGGAGATGATATTCACCCAAGAAGTAAACACTCTTTAGTGTGATGGGATAATGAGAATTCTCATCAAAGCAGGAGGTCAAAAGGGATTTACCTCATAAAAAAAAGTTGTTGATAAAAGCTGACTGTGTAAAACCAAATATTGCATTTTGAAATTGGCTTATGTCTTTATATTTACTGCCTATTACAGAAATGTCAGTGAACACTAAAACATATTAGTTTGGGAAGATTTTTATTCACTTTAATGAATATCAGAATATTTCAAAGCTTGGAGCCCCCAGTGGTGTAGCTAATACCAACAGACAATTATGTAAAATAACTTGTGTTAGGTACTAGGAATAAGAAAAGGTATGAGTTGGAGTCCTTACTCTCAATCATCTTAGTATCCAGTTGTTGAGATGGGGAAAAGACACAAAAAGACATAAATAATACATGGGAGTAGAGTCTAAAAGCCAATGCGTGATGTAGAAAGTGTACATTATGAGAGGTCAGAAAAGCAAGAAATTGCTATGGACTGGAATAGTCAAGGAAGACTTTTTTGAAAAAGTGTCAGTTCAGATGGGTTTTGAAGGAAAGAGGGGAACAAGTATGGGGAGGGTATTAGAGTAAAGATAACTAGTCTAACAAAGGCTGAAGCAGGAGTCTAGTCATATTCTTCTTCAGGAACAATGGGGTGAATAGTTTGACTGAAAGGTGGATTAATGAAAGGGAGCAATGATGGCCAAATTGTGGAAGGTCTTGAATGTCATGCCAAAGTATTTGGAATTTCTTGTTTGTACAACAAACAGTCGTCTTCATTGAGACACCTGTGGGGGAAGAGGGTAGTAATGCATACAAATTTAGGGAAATATGAATCTGATGAAAATGTTTGAGATGATGGATTTAGAACTCAAAAGGGCCTTGGAAGGTAGATAGTTGGGCCCCCTCATTTTTCATCTAAGGATTGATACCACACAAGTTGATACTGATATCACAGTCACACTCACACCAATAGTAAATGACTGTGCCGGGGCTTTGAGTCCGAGTCCTCTGATTCCCATTCTAGATCTATCTCTTTCTCTTGTACCACGATGAGGGGAAAACAGGTCTTTGGAAAACCAGTTGGATGATCAATGACGAACGGGATGGAAAGAAAGCAAAAAGTGAAGTAGACATTTGGAAGGGATAGTTGACAAGCTGTGTTGACTGTTCGGGATGTGAGCTTGTGATTTAAAGTTATTTTTTTCAGGCAGAGCCAAGATGACAGAGAAAAGTCAGAGACTCACCTGAGCTCTCCCCAAGACTCCTCTGGACACCTTTCAATAATGCCATAAAACAATTCCTAGAGTGACAGAACCCACGAAAGGACAGGGAGAAATAATTTTCTAGCCAAAGACAACTTAGAAGGTTGGTAGGAAAGGTCTGTCACACTGGGGTGAGAGTGGAGCACAGTCCAGCACAAGCTACACTAGCACAGAACATGCTCCAGCATACCAGGAACAGGGCTTTGGAGCCTCTGGATCTGTAGTGGCAATGGCTGCTTCTGTAGCTGTCAGCCCACTGATGATAAGAGGGTTGAAACAACTGATCAGAAGGAGATTATAGGGGTCTTTTTGCTGGCAGTGGGGTCAGGACTCTGTTGCTTTGCACATACTCAGGTCTGGGTTTCAGTCCTTGGTGGCAGTCCTAGGGCAAAGAGGAGCACTAGCATATAAGAGTTTGCAGGGGCCACAGAGGAACAGGGACCCTCATCACAGGTTCAGGGCAGAAAAGAGTACTTGTGCTCACTCACAGATCAAGCACAGGCCAAGAGAAGAGTAAACACCTCTCCGTAGATCATACTACCTTGGAACAACTGGATGTCTAGAAGAACGCTGATAACAGCTGCACAAAAAACCTGAAGCTTAGGATAGTGCATCATCTACCCTGGAAGCAAGGCCCAGCTTTAACAAAGAGTTAAAAATCAAGAAATAGACTTTGAGAATGAGCAAACAACAGGAAAAAAAAATTCTGATCATAGGAAGTTATAAAGTTCTATTACATAGAAAGTTACGTAGAAAGTAACATTGAAAGCTACAAGGAAGATCAAAACACAAACTCAGAAGATGATAACAAAGTCAAAGCTCCTACATCCAAAGCCTCCAAGAAAAATATGAATTGGTTTTGGGCCATGGAAGGGCTCAAAAAGGATTTTGAAAATCAAGTAAAAGAGGTAAAGGGAAAATTGGGAAGAGAAATGGGAGTGATGCAAGAAAATCATGAAAAGAAGAGTCAACAGCTCAGTAAAGGAGACACAAAAAAAACTGAAGAAAATAATACTTTAAAAAATAGAACAGGCCAAATCATGAAAGAAATACAAAAATAAACAGTGAAGAAAAGAATGCTTTGAAAAGCAGAATTTGAATGGCAAAATGGAAAATGAAAAAGATATACAAAATTTCACTGAAGAGAGAACTCCTTAAAAAGGAGGATTGGCCAAATGAAAAGGAGGTACAGAAGCGCGGTGAAGAAAATAATTCCTTAAAAGTTAGTACTGAGCAAATAGAAGTTAATGACTTTATGAGAAATCAAGAAACAATAAAACAAAATGAAAATAATGAAAAAAAAGA